AGAAAAGGATGAAGAGACACAAAAATAAGATCTTGCTCCTCATCCCAGTTCCCACCATAGCCAAAATTATGAAAGAGGAAAAGTTTCTGTTCTCAGACCCTTAGGCCTCTTAAATTTACTTTTGCTCCTTATTACCACAATATACTACTCAGATATATTCATTTCCTCAAAAACAGGCCACACTATACAAGTAACTACTGTTCATCTCCTTCAGTCATAGCTTTAACTCTTAGCTTTAGAAGGTGTTAGGAAGAAAGCAATCTGACTGAACCAACTCATATTAATGTGTAAATGACTGATTTGTACATTCATTTATATATACAACACATACATACACACACAAACACATGCACACATACAATTGCTTTACTTATGTGTTAGCTAGGCATCATTCTAGGAGCTAGGGATATAACAGAGAGAGAGATAAAAGGGCAAGGTTTCTGTTCCCATGAAGCTTACATATCAGTGGGGAGAACTAGACAATAATAACATTCTAAAATAAACTAAAAAATCCAAGTGATAAATACTTGACAGAAAATAGGGTGCCGTAATACGGCAGAACTGGTTGACCACTTCATCTTGCATGGTTAGGAAAGGACTCTTTGAAGTGACATTTAAGATGAGATACAATTGAAGACAAAGAGCCAGTCTTGTGTAAGTGAAGAGGAGGAGCATTTTAGACAGCTAGTGCAACCCTGAGAAAGGAAGGAACTTGGTGCATGGAAGAGAGTAAAAAGCCCAGTGGGGCTGAAGACCAGTGGGCAAGGAGGAATCCAGAATGGAAAGACAGGCAGCGGCCTAATCAGGTAGGTCTTTGTAAGCCAGAGTGATGCTTTTGAAGTTTATCCTAAGTGAAAGAGGAAGCCACTGGAAGAGTGCAAGCAGTAATGTGGTCTGATTTACATCTTAAAACTATCCCTGACAGAAGCATGGAGACAAATAGGAGCCTACTACAGAGGTCTCAGTGAGAGAGAACGGCTGCCTAGACTAGGATGGTGGTGGTAGACAGAGAGCAAAGTGGGTCTGATCAAGACATACTCTAGAGGAAAGATCTGCGGGAATTATAAACGGATTGACTGTGGGGATGAGGAGAAAGGAATCAAGGACACATAGGTGCATGATGATATTGTTGTCCTGAGAAAGCCAACATCTGGAAAGAATAGGTTTGGCTGAAGGCTAAGGTGGTTAGTCAGTGGACATCCACAGTTCTATTTTGGGCATGGTAATTCTGAGCTGCAAACTGCACATCCAGCATGGATACAGGGAAGGCAGTTGGTATGTGAATCTAGAGCTCAGGGGAAAGTTGAGGCTAGATATATACATTTGGTAATCGTTGGCACACAACTTTAAGCCATGGAAACTGATGTGATGGTCAAAGGAGTGAGCATGGACAGAGAAGAGAAGAGGGCTGGAGACTAGGCTCTGGCTCGCTCAACATTCAGAGGTGGGAAGAGACTGTTCAGGAAGTCCCCTCTTCTCCAGACAGGAAGAAAGATGATCCCTGGAAAAGAAAGCCCTTCGTCTACTAACAGGTATGGGTCTTTAAACTCTTGTAGGTATACCTAAAGTTGAGGGCCAGTGAAGACTCTCATGAGTCCTTCTCTGCCAGTAGATTACAATGATCATTTGCTACCAGTTGGTATGAGGAAGAAGTTCTGTCTCTCCTGAAAAGTCATAGCTCTTTTTCCCATAAATTTTGAACAATATGGTAAAAAATACTTTTAATGAGATAGATAGATATTTAGAGGACTAGTAGGGTAAGTTTTCAATGCCCGTCAGGCCATCACAATCTAAGAGTCTCCCATAGAAGGAAGCACCGGTACCTCTGACACTAGCCTTTCTACTTTAGCCAAAGTCTCAAGACATCAGCCCAGAGGAAAAGCTGGCCCCCAGGGCAATGCTGACGGTAGGCTACAGGTGAAGAGAATTCGTTTTCTTTATTTTTCTTCTGCCTGTAGCAACTGAGCTTCATCATCTGGGAACAATAACATCATTTATTTAATTTTTTTGAGGAGTCAGGAGATATAATAAAGTGCTTCTCTGAATCATCAGGGTTGAAGAATCAAGTCAAATATTATGTTCGTTCAGCATCTTGTTCAATTTGCACAGCTTTTTGGGGGGGGCAAAATGTCTGTTTATATAGATATGATTATCTGAGATTACCTGTGAATATATTGTTTGGGGAGCATGCTGCACAGTTACCATTGCAGCAAATTATAAGAAATCTCCCAAAAACAGAGCAAATAAAGCTATTTCCCGATAGGAAGAATTTATAGCAGTGCAGGGAAACCATTTTGACAACTAATGATTCTGCTGTGTTCTCTGCAACAGGCTCTCTTACGTCTTGACTCCCCTGGGTTCTGAACTGGTTTTAAGTGGCGGAACAAACATCTTCTCCAAACACTAAGGTTTAATCCGCATTTCATGTTACAGAAAAAAATTTTTTTTTTTTAATCATATGACTACCATACTTTCCAAAAGAGTTTTTTGTTTTGTTTTGTTTTGTTTTTTTGTGAGGAAGATCGGCCCTGAGCTAACATCTGCCAATCCTCCTCTTTTTGCTGAGGAAGACTGGCCCTGGGCTAACATCCATGCCCATCTTCCTCCACTTTATATGGGATGCCGCCACAGCATGGCTTGCCAAGCGGTGTGTCGGTGCACGCCCGGGATCCACACCGCCAAACCCTGGGCCACCGCAGCGGAGCGTGTGCACTTAACCGCTTGCGCCACCGGGCCGGCCCCTCAAAAGAGTTTTTTAATACAAGAGAGGCACAGAGCCATTTTGAAAGATCAGTATGTAGAAAAAGAAGCCAGGTATCGAGATGAGGAGTTGGGAAATTTAAAAATCACACTTTTAGGAACAAAGGTTTGATGTAGGAAAATCATTTTTTCATCCTTTTGAAAGCAAGAGATGCATTTGGTAGGACCAATTGCCGACATTCCAGAAAGGCTGGCTGATTTTCAGTAACTATCATGAGAGACCTAATTTTGCCTGCATTATCATAATTTGCTCATATTCTCCTCAAGTGTTAAACTGTGGCCAAGAGTGTGTGCCAACTTGGGCACCTCTTGATACAGTGATTCAAGCCTTAGGGAAAGTAGACCCTAAAACATGTTTCCCTATAATAGCCTCAGATAGAGCAATGGATAACCATGATGTTTAGTCCCTTTGGTTGTACATATGTTCTCTAAACAAAGCAACCTAAAATATGAATATGTTAAGTTTTTCCTCCTGCTTGATAAATTTCTGGTCATTTTTGGAACAAATTCAAAATAAATGTGGAACTGCTGGGACACAGCTGGTGTTGAGAGGGAGTCTGCTCTCCTCTGAGGATCAGCAGTTAACTGGAAGACTTTGCATAGCCTTGCTCACTAAGGCAGGAGTAAGAGATCTCCCTAAATCCCTGGCTCCGCCATTAACTCAACGGGACACCAAAACCATGCTGGGCCCCTTGATAAGGACTCCAAATGGTCGAACAGTTGGAAAACACCATGTGCTATGGCTGAGCAGTATAAATCTGGACAATTCATCCCCAGTTACTTAAGGATGAAGTGTACAGATTTATACTGGTCAGATCATCCTCAGCTATTCAATACAAATAATAATCACAAAAGCTGCTATTTTATTGAATTCCTTCTATATCCCAGTTGCTTCACTAGATGCATAATTTATAGGAGCTTTCTCCAGTTCTTTCTATAATTCTTCAAGTTAAGTATGGTTATGCCTGTTTTATGAATAAAGAAACCAATGCTCGGAGAGGTTAAGTCACTTACCCAGCCACTGAGATGATAAATGTCTGAGTGAAGAACAGCTAGTGAATTCCAGTGAAGAGATATACATGATTTAAACTGTCCTTGTTTTCAGACTCAAAACCAAAAGCCAGGGGTGCCAACTCTCGCAAGTATAAGTAAAACTCACAGCGTTTATCTCAAGGCTGTGGCAGATGTGGAAAGTGGAAAGTGAATGGCACCATCAGCAGGACTGTATTTCCTCTCAAGTCCTGCCTTTCCCCAAGCCCACTGTAACGCTTGTCATTGACCTGCTACTTGGTAGAGAATGTGAGTCTTGTTGCTCAGTTAAAGGCTGTACATCTGTCAAAGTGTCAACTAGTGCTAGGGAGTAGGTCCAGAACTTTAGTTACAATTAGCTCAGATGTGCACCAGAATCACCTGTGAGCTTAAAACACACATTGCTGTGCCTTCCTCTAGATCTTCTTCTAGATCAGAAGAAGATCTAGAGGAAAAGGTTAGTGGTGGGTTGCAGGTATTTGCATTTTTTTTGCAAGCTCCCAGGTAATTTTGATGCCCACCGAAGTTTGAAAATTACTGCTGTCAATGTCATGTTTCGGAGGATAACGTCTTACTCAGAAGTCTGAGCAAACATAATGAGCTACAGCTGTAAATTGGAAGAAAAATCAGCTTATAAGGAATGCATGCAGGGATGTCCACGAAATATGCACTTGGCCTGCTCACTTTGGTCAGGATTACTTTTTCCCTGTCCTGTTCAATGTCTACTTCTTATTTATCCCCATTAATACTTGGGTCAAGAGAATATTGTATCAGGTCTTCAGTAAGTATTTATCTTAGTTACCCAACGAATACAGAGTTTCATGGAAATCATCCAAACTTTACTAAATATAGAAAAGACAGAAATTTTGGTCTTAAAGACGATTCTGTAATTTTGTTTTGTGTTTTTGAAAATGCTAATTGTAATGGGAAGCTGATCTGCCAATCTATCCATCAAACCAATCTGCTCTCTCCATGCAGGCCATGCAGTCCCCCTGGGAATACTCTCCTGTCATCATGTTGATACTGACCAGCTTTCTAACTTGAAAAATGCCAAGACAATGTTCTGGCAGTGATATTATTTATATTTCTAGGCTCTCCCCTTTCATAGGCCTGGTTTGTTATCACATTCCTTGAAAGTGTGGGAAAGAAAAAGCCAAGAAGGCAAATGGGCTTCCGCTTCCGGGGAAATCATATATGACTGTATTCTCTACCTGGTACTGAAGTTCCAAGTGCGACGAACACTACTGCAGTCACGGAATCTTTCAGGCCAATGGTGCAGCCGAAGTGGGAAGCCAGGTCTCCAATGAAAGCTGTCAGTACGCCAATCATGAGGATGGAGACAATGAAACACGCCCAGCCATTCCAGTATTCTGTAGGGGGAACGAAGGCGAAGAGAACCTTCCAGAACACAGTCAGAAAGTGCATCACATAATCGAAACAGGAGGGCAGCTTCTCCTCCCCACATTCGTCGTCGTCATCATCTTCCCCTAGAGAGAAAGGAATGAAACACATTTCATCACAACCCATACTTCCTATCTCCCACTCCTTCCTTCCTAGGCCTGTCATCCCTCCCCTCTGAGTGACCGGGAGGCCATTAGAGGTGGGCAAAGCTTGAGGTTTTCCAAGAGTCAATCATAATTACCCAATTAATTATTAAGATACTGACATGCCCCCTGGCTGTGGCTCATGGGTCAATGGTAAAAACTTAAGCCCTCACCAAGTTCTAGTTATATGCAATCAACACACCCTTTCTACTCTCTTATCACCTCCAGTGAGATTTGTCATTTCAGATAAATGAAAAGGATTTCTTCCAAAAGGCTGAAAAGGCTGAAGCCTCTTTTAATGAAAGATACCTATGACAGAGTTCTTCTGCCTGGGTTCTTTTCTTCCAGTTGGGAGTCGAGCTCTGGGGATTCATGATCATATAATCACCTACAGGACAATGTTCAAACAAGAGCCTCAATCACAGCTCTGGGGCCCGCATATTTCTCCAGTTTCAACTCCTGAAGCTTCTTCAAACTCAAACTTCATCCCAGCTAAATGGAATTATTTGCATTTTTTCAAACCAAATGTACTTTCTCCTACGTCTGTCCTTTAGAACTAAATGTGCTTGGCATGTCCTGATCCCTCCCTCCTTATCTTCCTCCACTCATCCTTTAAAACTCACTTCCTGTGTGAAACCTTCTCTGACCCCCTCGCCCTCCAGCAGTGCTAGGAACCCCTTCTCAAAGCTTCCGTAGCCCCCAACACTTGTAACACTAGATCAGTGGTTCTCAAAGTGTGATCCTTGAACCAGCAGCATCAGCATCACCAGGGAACTTGTTAGATGTGCAAATTCCTGGCCCCAATGAATCAGAAACTAGGGGAGTGGGCATGGGGTGGGGAGTGGGGGGCAGAGAAATCTGTGTTTGAACAAGCCCTCTGAGTGATTCTCATGCATGCTCAATTGGATTGTGCCTGTTCGCTTTCCTCTTCTCCAGGTGACTATGAGCCCTTCAAGAGCAGAAATTTATTCATTTTTGTGTTGCTAGTGTTTGGTACCATCTCCAGCATGTGGAATAAGCTGGCTAAGTGCTTGTTAAATGAATGCATGCATGCATGAATTTCCACTGACTTTACAAAACTATTTAATTAGATATTATATACACAGATCACAAATTTGCCCATTACATCCTACTATCAATGCACAAAGAAATGCACAAAGCTTACTACTTAAAGGAACCAGGATATCAATAATAGTATTCTAACACAGAGATTTCATTTATAATGTGATACAATCCCCATTCACATATTTTAAAATTGGGATATTGAATGTCAACTCTTCTTGAAGAGGTGGCAAATATATATTCACGTGTTTTGTGGCCATTTTGCAAAGAAGAATTTCTCCTTGAGGACTTTGTTCACCACCCCCAGCCCCCCAACCTTGTCACCAGAGATCTACTTTCCTTCATCCAGCTAATGCAGCTGGCAGCAGGTGAGGCTGTCAAACTTTCCAGCTGACTGCGTGACCTGACACTGCCAGCATGGAGAAAATGCGGGTGCTCTTCGTGAGATACTCTGTGGTGAGGCCATCTGGTGCAGATCACAACTGGGAAACCCTCTCAAAGCAGAGGAGCTTTGGGGTAAAAGTGCCTCTCACAAAATATGAAAAGAGGAAAGTCAGGATTTGTCACCTGTCATCTTACAGGAGGAGAGAAGAGGCAACGGCCCATTCTTCAAGAGTGCATGATCAGACTTATTATGCAAACCATCTTTGGGGATCTATGGAGAAATCAGCCTCATCTTTGAGGCTTTGGAAGGTCTCCAATGAACTGTTGGGAGGAAGCCCCCCCCCACAGATGAATGGAATGACCTACAGAGACTAAGTAGGTAGGGAACTTGAGTCAGGGGAGCTGACTGAAAAGAGTGTGACTCACTAGGGTGAAAAATCATTGTTGACCTGGTTACGGTTATTAAACAAGGAGGCCATTAGACTGGGTGGCTCTAATGCCTTGGTAGCTACGTAAGCAAATCAAAACCTAATCCAGAGTCAAGTCTTGTAAATACCCTTGGGTCTAAGAAAACAAAATTTGAGAACAACCAATCACAAACAGCCACCTAGGCTTTCCCATATAAGGTAACCACTTAAGCTACAGCCAATCAAATAATTTCTTTGCTTTGCTTCCACCTCTGCTCTATAAAAGCCCTCCCCGAGCTCCTGTTGGTAGAGTGCTTCTAAACCACTTTTGGTTTGGCTTTGCCTGATTTGAATCTGTTTGCTCAAGTAAACTCTTGAAAATTTTAATATGCCTCATTACCTTTTAACAATTGTTTCCTACAGTGCTCATGTTGTATGGTTACTACATACTTCTAATATCATCCTTGCCTGAAAGCAGAAGATGCTTTTAAATAAAAGCACACGTTATGGGCTGAACTGTGTCTCTCCCAAATTCATATGTCGAAGCCCTAAGACCCAGTACATCGGAAGGTGACTGTACTTGGAAATAGGGCCTTTGAAGGGATGCTTAATTTAAAATGAGGCTGTTAGGGTGGGCCCTAATTGAATCTGACTGGTGTCCTTATAAGAAGAGGAAATTGGGACACACAGAGAGACAGCAGGGATGCGCACACATAGAGGAAAGACCATGTGAGGACACAGTGAAAAGGCAGCCCTTTCTTCTCCCAAGTCAAGGAGAGAGGCCTTAGGAGAAACCAGACCTGCCAAGAACTTGATCTTGGTCTTCTATCCCCCAGAACTGTGAGAAAATTAATTTCTATTGCTTAAGTTACCCAGTCTGTGGTATTTTGTTATTGCAGCCCTAGGAAACTAACACAGCACCCCTACTGAAGCAAGCCTCCTTTGTCATAACACTGACACATGGGAACGGCCACTCTGTTTCTGTTACCCACTCCTTTCTTGTTTCCTTATCCATTTCTCTTTTTTTTTTCCTTCTTTCACTTTTCTTTCCATTTCCCTTTGACCCTACTCTTTAGCTCCGGGTAGAACTCACTGTGTCAGCTGCAATTGTCAGGGCTGACGTGAGGGAGGAAGGGAGAAGAGAACCATCTTAATTCTTTCTCTGCCTCCTCTCCTCCCCCACTCCCCATTCCAAAGGGCAGGGCGGTTTGTACATACCCCAGGAAGGCTCAGAAAAAGCACTAGACTTTCTAGTTATATTTATTTTGTATCTGATCCTTTTAAATTTCTATTATTTGTGGACATTTTATAATTTCCTAGGGTATATGATTAAAACAGTTTCGAAAACACTGAATTTTAATCAATCATTCATAAAAACACAGATTATTTTGCCTCTAACTCTACAAAATTACTTAATTTGGGGTGTCTAAGTCTCATATTTGTGAAGATGAACAAGAAAACAAATAATGAAGCTTCTCAGAAAAAATGACACATAAATTGAGAGTAGATATTATATTTGTCTTCAAGATGGAAATAATAACAGCTTTCCCATGAGAGATGTGCAGGGGAATAATTAGATCATCTCTGCAAAGTGTTTGAGGATATTTCAAGAGAATGATTATCATGGTAGGTATCATTATTTTCCTCCATTTAGGATTGTTACTGTGTTTCCCCGTCATTATTTAATTGATTAGTCAACATGCTGGGTCCTAAGGTTACATTCTAGGCTTTTAGACACAAAGTTTAATGTTGCTCTCTGGAATTAACTTCATGATCTATAAGTGTGCAGTGCAAAATGTGTGTGTGTGTGAGAGAGGAAGACAGACAGGCAGACAGAGAGACATTTCCTTCTGTAGGCTTCCAGCATCACAAGAAATCTTAAATATTTTAATGCTTAAGTCTGGAATGGGAGGCCCATCTGTTTTATTGCATTTGAAAGTAGAAGTGGCTTCCCATCCTTTTTCCTGGGATCTCACTGCTCTTTATAAATTTTAATCTCCAACTCAGATGTCATTTAAATATTAAAAATGATCACTGACTGCCATGCATGATACACAATTACCCGGTATTGGAGAAGGACAAAGAAATATTATATCCATCCATCACCATCTGGACTATACTTAAAGTCTGTTCCTTGCAAAGAGTAGTGGAGCGTTTAAAAAAACACCTGGGAGCATCTTTTACGTGACGGCTAACATGACAGTAATCTGCTGCTGTACATTTGCCAGCTCAGGGTTACTGGAGGCTACATAATTCTTTTGCATCCCTCATCTGCATTAGTGAAGAAACAGGCAGTTTGGTGCACTTCCTTTTATAGGATCCCAAGCAAAGGATCTTCTTATCTCAGAATCCTTCTTTTCAGCTTTATGGATTCCACTAATGGAAAGATAACAAACAAGCTGTATTCGATTAATCGTTCCCATGGCCTTTTAAATGGTTTCCTTGATACATGTTAGACTTCTTAAATATAACTGCAAAAACAGCCAAATCATTAAAACCACAGGGAGTGGAGAGAGCATCACTTCAACTATTGATACAACAGTACTCGCAGTGACCCTGCTCTGGAGCATGAGAACAAGGGCATCAACTGATCATGAGAGGGAACCCCTGGGCTTGGCACCTGCAGACAACACAGCATCTAAAATACACCAATTGTTAGTTTATATCCCTCTAGAGGCGCTCAGGGTTTGGCCCCGGGGAGAGCTTTGAGAACCAGAAAAAGAGGCTGCTAGGGTATAGTGGACACTTGGGTCAGAAAACTTAAGTCAGTTTTTGGTTCTAGCTTGTTTTGGAGCAAGACACTTGGCCTTCCTGAGCCTCAGTTCCTCATCTGTCAAATGAGTTTCCTAACTCCCTCATCTCAGTGGTGAGGACCAGCAGAAGAAATGTCCCAGTCCTCTGCAAAACTGTAAACCCCTTTACAGACAAATGTCCCATATTCCATCACCATTACTTGTCAGAAGGAAAGCAGTAAATCAATACAATCCTAGTATCCTGATTTCGCAGAATCTATATTCTGTTTGAATGAACCATTATCACTACAGCTTCCCTGAACTGCTTGATTTTAAAAAAAGAAAGGAAGAAAGGAAC